CAGAGCTGACTCACATTCTTTGTCACGCACCGCGCTCCCAAAAGATAGCATTCAGGGACCGGCTGCTGGTGTTCGGTCCCATGGGTGTCGATTCATATTCTTTTGAGCCCCCCCCCCCCCCCCCCTCCACTCCATGTTGAGCTGTTCCTCCCTCGGCTGGCTTGCCTCCCACTTTTTTTGCTGCCATATTACAAAAGTATAGTGAAATGGTCATCACGAAAAGACTGTCTACCTTGGACATCGTCTGCTGCCTATCCGGGGGTGTTGGTTCGCTCTTTGCCGACTACAGGGCAGATCCAGGAATGCCGATCGGTGGGACCCCTTCCAGAAGGGGCGTCAACTTCACCCAAGGGGCTACTAAGGCTGCACAAGAAATCAGATATGCCTTAAATTTTGGCTGCCTCATTTTATGAAATTGCTGAAAATAACATAAGATCCACGCTCGGCTGGTTGGTCTTCACCAAAGAGATGACCACGTCGCTTAATACAGGCCCGTCTCACGTGAGCAGCTTGCAGTGCGGGTTCTCGTGCCCGGTCGTGTCGGTCGATCGGTGCTGAAACATAATTGCTATTCACAGGCAAAGAACAAGATCGTGAGCGATCGAAGAGCATACTCCTCAGCAAAAACTCCTCTTCATACTTTTGGATTGTTAGAAACTGGAGAGTTTTATATTTTGAGAAAGACGGGGCTTTGAACTGCATCGAAGGCTCCTCAAGTTGCCTACTTCAGTTCAGAATTCCATACAAATGTGAAATTCTTCCTTAAATGCAAAAAACAGGGGGTCATTCTCAGGACCAATGAACACCTGACGAAGATCGGAGAGCTCAATGTCGGAAACATTGTGTATCTACCACTTACACCTACAACGAGAGTGACAGTCTGAAAACATATTCCATCTGTAATCCTCGCACTCCGTCTCATGACATTGGCAGAAATATTATCGTGCTGTGTGATTCCATGCAGTTTTTACACCGGGAAAAGTTGTTTCTAATTTCAAAACAACGTTGCACATTATATTCGGTTTCGGTTTTGGACTCGCGATTTCCAACTGAAGGCCTCCGCTTTAACTTCGCGTTCCTGAATTCAAAGCCCTGGACTTCAGCTTCCGCTTCGTAGGTAAAAGTTCAGAGCCACTGCCTTCACAGTCGCCTTTTTTAAAAAATATATAAGAAGCTACTAGCGTCGGCTTTGGTTCTGCAGATTAAAACTTAGCAGCAATCGCTTTCGGCTTCAACTATGGTCACGCTACCTTGGCTTCGAACTTGGCTTCGAAGCCAGGAACCTGACTTCGTCCCAGTGACTGACTTGGCCGAGAAAGCAGTGAACATAATCTCATAATCTCATAGTCATAATCATTACGCATCATATAAGTTAAGCTGTTTTCGGATCCAGCATAAGTCCATGTGAGCTACAGCCCGAAGGGGAACGTTCCACATTTGGAGATATTAAAGCAAGCATCAGACATGATGCGATAGGCTCACTTAGAACTATTGATATGCTTTTATGTGGAAAAGCCTGTTCTAAGCAGCACAGCTTCTCTGCACAGTCAATATTCTCTTTACTGCGTCATTGGTTGATTACGTCATCGTGCCTTACACAACATTGATTGAGAGCTAATGGACGGCTATTTTATCAGGAAATCGCGCTCGCGAACACTAGATATGAACGACTCGACGATTATATTTTTGTTGGCCTTGGTCACCGCATGACTAATGGGATGGCAGATGGCATCATAGGAGCCTGGGCGACCTTGAAATAGTCCCCGAAATGGTCTGCACACCTTCGTGGGCGTATAGCTCAGAAATTGGAGGGGCTTAATTCTTAAGAAGGGCGGGGCCGTGGAACAGAATCAAATGATCTTCGAGATGGCCGGTTCAGTTCAACACCGCACACAAATGTGCAACACTCCGTTTAAGGTGCCACTTTTAGTCCGCAGGGCACGTGGTACTGCGCTAACCCCCTTTAAGGTGCCACTTTTAGTCCGCAGGGCACGTGGTACTGCGCTAACCCCCTTTAAGGTGCCACTTTTAGTCCGCAGGGCACATGGTACTGCGCTAACGGGACAAAATCTTCCTCATCGAACCACCAGAACGTAGAGATGGCGTGCGTAATACACGTGAGAAAATCGGTTAATGGCCGTGGTTCGCGACGGTGCTGAAATGCATCACATTTACGGGCGTTTGTGTACTGGGCGCTGCAGGTTCTGTTACAGCGCATGGGCGTCTTTGAAATGGCGATGCCTTGTCTTAAAACTTGTGTATCTTCTCAATGCCATGGGCAGCCAAATCCCTCATGGCTCTGTTGAGGAGCCACTTTATCCTTAAGAATATGTTTGTCGTCCTTAAGACATTCTCAGGCGCCGAGGACGCCATTTTGGGATATCCAGACATTTCTCCACAATTTGGAGTACCAGGTTTTTATGACAACCTAACTCAATGGCAATTTTCAGCTGGGCTTGCGCAAACCTTTCGAGACATCTCACAACAGGTATGCAAGGGATATTTGATAGTAAAACAGGAATATAATCCGGATCGACTTGCAAACAAAACTGAGCAGCTTGTACTTCAATCAGCAATTGTATCTGCTCCAAAAATTCGTATCCTCAGATTGGACGGATTTCTGAGACCAGAGAGCACACAAAATAACGGTTTTTGCGTGAGTCCTGCACCGTCTAAATTGTTATGAAATTCAAGGTCGACGATTGGTGAATTAACTCCTGATAAGATCAGAGTTCAATCTTGGTTGAAAATTGAGTTGGAAATGTATGAGAAATCCCATAAGGAAATCCCAATCCGGAATTTGCCATCTTGCAATCCCGCTCTTATCTCTGCTTCATAGCGGTAATATGAGGAGGTCTCAGAATATTTTGCGACCCGTCATGAACCTAATGTGGCATTGCATTTACAGTTTTACTATGCAAAGAAATTAACAGCTCTACAATAAATATATTTTTCATCTAGATATCTGCATTATACAGACGTTAAATACTGGCGACCGTAAACGTTGCACTGATACGAATTTTGACGATATACAAGATTTCACTTGACGTTACACTCAGACATCCTGCCTTGCCTAAATTTTGTGTGGAAATGCTGGTTTGAACCATCGAACCTGGACTCTGTCGAACCACTCCTGTCGTTGAAGTTTCTAGGGTTGTCGTTCTAGTACCTCTAGAGTATTAGTTCTCCATTGACATATACATACTTGCAACAGTATTTTTCGGTTAAGTATTCGGGAGAGAATAGCAGAGTAGAACGGGTTTTCTAATGTGTGATTACTGGATCTAAACATCCCGTCAGGATCTTGACGGCCCGGCACGCTGCGAAAAAAACTCGTTAAGCTTATTTTACCATCGGTCAATGCTTCTCAAGCGCCTTGCTTACATTGCTGAGAGGTGCTTACAAATACCTAATGCGGTCAGAATGATAATTATGTAAGAGATCAACGGCTTTGAAATGACACTGGGCTTCATAGCTTTTTCGCGATATGTCAGAGAATGGGAATATTTACTTGAAATAATATGTATTTCGACCACCGGTCTTCTTCAAACAGGCACGTTTACTCAAAAAGGCCAGCTTCAACAGACGTGTTCTTGAAAAAAGAACCGCAGTTGACAAATGCTTGTAACAAAGTCCACTTTTTGGCATCAAGCGGTCCACCGCCAGCCACCGTTCATTGGTCGAGAATCCCCCCCCCCCTCCGCCGGACTCGCCGGCCGGATGGCGTCACCCTCCCCCCTGTCGGTGCGCGTTGCATCAGCCACCCGGGGGAGGAGAGGGGGTGTGCCGCAATAGAGCCGTCTCTGTTCAGGCCCAGCTTTCTGGCAAATAGACCTGTTTAACGTTCCACATGGTATATGGTCTGAATGACTTGTTATTCAGGCCACATACCACCTGTTCCGCCGAAATCTAGAACAATGCACACCTCATAATGTGACTGAATACTTGCTTTCAGAAGTCATGCTCAGCGACTCAACAGCCAACGCTTGCATCAGACGGTTTCGAGAATCGCGAAGTGATTCCGCTCTTTATAATTGGTTAGCCAAATAGCCGCGTCCGTTGCATAATACGTACGTTTCCGTTCTTAATACGTACGCTACGTTTCTCATTGGTTGCTAATGATGTGACATTACATCACTTCCACGACAGGCGATCGTTACTGTTCCCGCGTGGAAGTGGTTTATAAGGGGAACCGTTTGTTACCAGGTGTACTCATAGACTCATTCGATTGAAGACGCAAGATTGCTGTTGGTTGTGTGCGTGGGCACTGCGATGTGGAGGGAATGTTGGTGAGTGTGAGCTACGAGTAAACAGAATCTCTAGACTGACATCATTTATCACGCCGACTCGCGAGAGGGACTGGCATAAGCGAGGTCGGCACTAGTAAAACTGTCACGCACACAAAAATCCTCCACAGCCCCGCATGCGCAGTCGATCCAGTGAACACCGCCTGTGATATATACGATGTCGCCGTCAATGCACAAAGCAGTCTTGGTGTCAATGACAGGGTCGAATCGAGATGCGACTGGGGTTGGGCGGGGTAAGGACGCGCAAGTTCGCCAGATTTTTGCACCACTTGAAGATTAGTGGTAATAACAAAACATTGAATTCCGTATTTTTCATTAACAAATAACACTTAAAGTGGATCGTTCCGCTTTTTACACAATCACTAGGATCCTGCGGTCAAAGGTCATCAAGAACCTTTTCTATGTTGCAAAGCACGAACACATCGCGATGGCGTAAAGTTTATCGATATTGGGGGAGTGCCGCCTTCCTGCCTGACCTGGGGTCCTGGCGTCACAACTTCACGGCACATTTTCCCGGTTCAAATTTTGTGTTTTTACGTAAGTTGTTAAATGCATTTGAGAGGAGCATTCTGCACATAAAGACACGAGTAATAACTTCATTCCTCGGAGAACCCAGGAGAATAAAGACGTAGTCAGTCGGTCGACGGCGTGTTCACGGAGTAGGAGTAATGGGTGCGCCTGACTCGGCGGCAGGGTGCAGCCTGTGCGTGCACGTCAAGTGTGCGGGGAAGATCCGGCGGCGGTGTGCCGCAGAGCGGGTCCGCCGCCACCCTGCCTACAGTCTGCGCATCTGCCCGGAGACTGGACTCAGCGGGCAGAAGTTCAAGTGCGCCGAGTGCGCCAGATTCGTCCTGCCCGGTCGGTGAGATCACGGCATGTGTCCTGACAGCTGAGGAGTGGCAGTGGCGGCGTGTTCTATGAATGCTTTGCGCGTACGGTGCTGTTCCAGGGTGATATGAGTTACGCTGTCAAGACGGATAAGCTTGAACTTGACTAACGATGACATGTTTTACGTGTATCCATGACATGGTATGTACCCATCCATGACATATATTATGTTGTGCACTACACCTTATGCACACACCTTAGAAGGTTACCGAGGGATTCTGTTGGAATGGTTTTGCATTTCTGTATGCGTGTCGCTCACATGTATTGCACTTCCAGCGCCATCAGAAACAAATCGTAAGCACACCGTCAATGATTGCAACCAAAACTAGCACAGACACAAAACTACTTCACACGTTTGCGCGTCTCCATGCCCTGGCCGTATAAAGCACTCAAATGAAAGCATGTTGGTGGCCCACCGTGCATCTCGCATGACATCCTCGAATAGGAACCGGGGAAGCATTCACAAGCCCCGCAAGACACCTGCCGCAGCAGAAAAGCTTGGGCGGTGTCCAAGATAACTATGCAAAAGCTGAGCATACGCATGCATGTACATGCACGGGTAACACCACATCTACTCCGTAGCGAGTCGGCTGCATTGCGCGGTGGGCCCGCACGGGGATCTGTCAGGCGCAGTCTAGTGCACGCGGGGCCCACGGACGAGCCGAGGGTGAGACCCGACTGACCGTGCCGCCTGAGCCCGGCAGACGCGAGCTGGACGAGCCGCGGCGCTCTGTACGCCGAGGGTGAGACCCGGCTGACCGTGCCGCCTGAGCCCGGCAGACGCGAGCTGGACGAGCCGCGGCGCCCTGTACGCCGAGCTGGACCTGGTCAGCTCGCCGCGGCTCTGCGACTACACGGGCCGCTACTTCTGCGCCCGCTGTCACCGCGGTGACCGAGCCATCATCCCTGCCCGTGCCATCCGCAACTGGGACTTCCATAGGTATCCGGTACGTGCCGGTGCAGGCGAGCACGAGGCCCCCGACTGCGAAGTGTCGGCTCCAGCTCACCAGAGGGGAGGGGAGGCTAGGAGCTTCGGGAAGTGCCTTTACGCTGGTGATGGATACTGGCGATCCCCGGTCGCAGTCGTGCCATTCATTTCCCATGTTTGTACGTCATGCCGCCCCAGTTATGATGCGTGATGCGTGAATACCCATGAGCTTATTCTTAGTCATCATCGGATCACGTACAGAACAATGTCCTGCGACCGCATGCTGCAGGTGTCGTGCGGGGTGCGTGAGTACCTGGAGCTTATGTTCGACCGGCCCGTGCTAGACGTAGAGGAGGCCAACCACCTGCTGTTCAGCTACGTGGAGGAGCTGGGACACGTACGGGTGAGCTTTGCCTTCAACATGCTGTGGCCGCCTGCCAGGCTGCTGCGTCCTGGAGGTGGTCCGACAGGCAGACGCCACGCCCCGTCGGCCGTGCCGTCGCGTTGGCTTGATTCCCGTCGAGTTCATCCAGGACCTCCTGGCGCCTGCGGGAGTGCTTCTCGCCAGCAGTACCAAGGCGGTGGTTTTAGATAGCTGGCCCTAGGCACAGCGCTCGCCTGTCGTGCTCCAGCCGTACCCTGCAGCCGGGTGCCGTCAGCTAGCAGGAGCTGCGGCAGCGGCTGGTGCAGATGCATGTCGTGCTTTATCCGTACCCTACAGCCGGAATGCCGTCGGTCAGCAGGAGCTACGGCAGCGGCTGGTGCAGGTAGCTGTCGTGCTTCAGCCGCGCCGTGCGGTCGGGGTGCCGTCGGTCAGCAGGAGCTACGGCAGCGGCTGGTGCAGATGCCTGTCGTGCTCCAGTCGTACCCTGCAGCCGGGGTGCCGTCGGCCGGCAGAAGCTGCGGCAGCGGCTGGTGCAGATACCTGTTGTATTCTATCCGTGCGCTGCAGCCGGGGTGCCGTCGGTCGGCAGGAGCTGCGGCAGCGCCTGGTGGAGATACTGGCGCAGATAACTGTCGTGTTCTACCCGTGCGCTGCAGCCGGGGGGCCGTCGGTCGGCAGGAGCTGCGGCAGCGGCTGGTGCAGATAACTGTCGTGTTCTATCCACACCCTGCACCCGGGGTGCCGCCGGCCGGCAGAAGCTGCGGCAGCGGCTGGTGGAGATAATTGTGCAGACAACTGTCGTGTTCTATCCATGCGCTGCAGCCGGGGTGCCGTCGGCCGGCAGGAGCTGCGGCAGCGGGTGGTGCAGATACCTGTCGTGTTCTATCCGCACCCTGCAGCCGGGGTGCCGTCGGTCGGCAGGAGCTGCGGCAGCGGCTGGTGCAGATGCGACGGTGCACGCTGCCGTGTCCGGCTGACGGGGCGCGCCTGCCCTCCTGGCTCGAGGCCCGGCCGCACCTGCTAGGCTCGCCACGCCTCTACAGCTTGCGCGACCTCAGCGACGTGTGGTCCGGCCAGCTGGCCGCTCTACTGGTGAAGGCGCACGAGCAGCTCGACGCACACCTCCGGAAGCGGTGTGAGGTGAGCGACCGTCTGTCCAGCGACTCTGTGCTCTCCATGCCCTCATCCGGACCGCTGGTATCCTACTCTTTTTAGGACGATGTTCTTATTTTTTTCATCGGGAACAAGGTAATGTTTTGCTAATCGGTATGGACTATGACGTCACCGACATGACCGGTGAAAAATAACTTGCTGTGGTAGCAACATTCATGAAACGCCTGTTGAATGCTTTCAGTGAGAAAGGACTTAAACACCTGAACACGCCGATGGCGCATGGCGGACAAAAATAAGGAAAGCAATGCATTTTCACACAGATGTTTGTCACAGAACCAACCACATGTGTATCATGGCACCAGCAGCTATCGGTCTTGAACAGTCTGTTCTGGGGTCAGAGCTGACGGGTAACGTGGCCGGTGCCGTTCCTCAGACATGCCGCCGCACCGCCCAGACGTGCCAGCTGTGCTGGGAGGGCGCCCCGCTGTTCCCGTTCGACGCGCAGGTGTCGGCCTGCGTCCACTGCCGGCACGTCATGCACGCTCACTGTCGAGCGCTGCAGGCCGGCTCGTCGTGTCCGTGCTGCCAGCGGACCGACGCGTGCACCGACGCGGACGGGCCGGACGCACCCGGCGACGAGACGGACAGACGCCAAGCGGACGGAGAAGAGGAGGCGACAGAGGAAGGCGACGGAGGAACAGTGGCTGGCGGTGGTAGGGAGTGCGGCGACGGGGCGGAGAGGGACAGCGGAGACGGTGCGAACGGCGTGGAGCAACGGGTGCAGAGCGGAAGAAGGCGTGGAAAAGATGGCACGGAGACAGAGATGAGGCAGACGGGTGGGTCAGGAGCGGCCTTAGCCAGTGGGCTGCAACAGCCAGCCGGTACGCCGTCTGGGGCCGCCAGCCGGCTGGGAACGAGGCCCGTGATCGACGGAGTGTCGGCCAGCTCGGCCGCGTGGCTCCGAGCGCTCGACAAGGACAGAGACAGGGACAAGGACAGGAGCAAGGGCGGGAGCAGGGACGGCGTCCGGCCGTAGCCGGTGGCCCCTTACCAGCCCCCGGTAGAGGCTCAGTCTGTCGCCACCGTTAGCAGAGCGTGGCAGAGGGTAGCCGACTGAGGCGAACTTCAGAACTGTGCCGGTGGGTGCAGTGTTTGGCAGAAACCGGCGCGAAAATGGCGTTGGGTGCTATCCGCAGCCACGTTAGGGAACTGGACAAGTCTTCATCTCTTTGAACTCACCTTTGACTTTTAATGCCGTGTTTTTTGCTGATGTCCTGAGTGTTGGGAAAGATGTCCTGTGTTGTGGTAAAGCATTCCATGCACAATGCGTCTAGATAGTAAGTTTGCTTACCAGATAGCCACTGCTTGACTGTCAGCACAGCAAGTTTACTAGAGGATTGCGCTGATTGGTGATTTCATGCAACAACGTCATGGCGCAACGGTGTTTGTGGCAGGTAGAAAACTTGCTCAATCTAGAGAACCTACTCAATCTGCATGACAGTCAGACACGTGTCCAGACTTATCCTCTCAGAGGAGAAGCGGCATGTGCCATTTTTAATTTGGTGTAAACCTCTCGGCTCAGGGGGAGGGTCCATCCCCCACCCTGGCCCTTTGGTTTCGTCCCTGATGGTAGTGCATTGTAGGACGGTGTCGTTTAATGTCATGTGGCTGTCTGTTATTGCGTGCATGGATTTTGACCAAACTACTGCCCAAGCTGTGATTAAAAAGGAGACGGATTTTATCATATGGGCGATGATTTCAATCTAGACATTGCGTGTTTTGACTACCCTAGCTGAGAGTTTGATCTTTGAGTTGTCTTTGTAAGCCGTCGCTGAACCAATATCATCGAACGCGCACGATCGCATCATTTTGCATTACAACGTTTGTTCCGAATACTACCGTAGTGTCTTCGTTGCACTGAGGCCACGCCACCCTGTCAAAGATACGCCCAGCGGGGATTATATGAACGGATTAAACGAATATTTAGGTGTCGGGCGATAACCCGGAAAGTGTTACTAATTCGGGTTCCACGAAAATCAAAACACCAAAGTCTGCTTTGCGAATATTTGGTACATTCCAGTGCCGAAATCACAGCACAACTTTCAAAGCACACGATTTTTTAATGTTATTTTTTACATAACAGGTATATTTCGAATACAAAAAAAGAATACAGATGGGCCACTGGCTGGAAACGGGGAACGCGACAGTAGCAAATTAACCAACTCCGCCAAAACGTTTGGCCACTGCGGTAAACGTCCTGACTCGCTGGATGAAGTCAGCGACAATATACGTATTTTCATGTCTTGTTATGTGCCAAAAATGCTTTTGAGTGAAAAATTTGGTGATGTCCATGACATAATATTAAAACTCACAGCGCACAGTCTGGCATGAGACATCTAACATTACTAGGTTTGCAGTATGCGCTGCAATATTTTGTCGTGGTCGTCACACAATTTTTCAGCTAAAACGTTTTTACCACGTGACAAAGTACATTTTGGTCGCTGACCTTTTTCACTAAGCTGGAACGCTTTGCCATCCCCGGCCAGGCGTTTCGGTGTTTTTTTCTTCTCAAGTTGCATATGTTGCGTTTTCCACTTTAAACCAATGGGGCACGTATGCATGCGCCGACAGTGCCCCGCCGGTCCAATCCGATCGCCAATCGATTGTAAAGCTCCATACCCACTGGCCTGGCAGCATGCCAAATTTCGTGTAGCCGGCTGGAACTGGCGGCGAGACGCAAATGCATTTGTGGATGACGAACGGACAGATGGACGGGCATTGTGCGGATTATAATATTTTCCGATACTTTCCGATAAAAAAATGGAGGTAAGCGAGCTAAAAAATACGGATGGCATTGAAAACCGCATTGTTATCAACTGCCTATCAATCTTACAGACGAAATAATGTGATGGAAGGTACGCAACATTTCTGATTGCAGACCCAACTTGCTTTTTAGATATAACCCTTGGTTTACGTTAAAACTATGTATGCTTTTTGTAAACCTGTGCTTTGATTTCGGCATTCAGTCGTTTTCAGAATATTCGAAAGCTGATTCCGACATTTGATTTTAACTGAAACAAAATACTCTGCCGAACGTTCCATTCCGCTGAATACGCATTTTCCGCTTTATTTGACACTGTATCGTTAGCATTTGAAGAACCAGCCTGCCCGCTGGTTTCAAGCATTTTGTCATGTCACCGTTTTCTTATGCCGCCATGAATCAAAACATTGCCCTTTAACTGCTAACCATTTGGAGGTCCGGCCTTAAGGCAAGTCGTTGTTTTGGTACGCCGCCACTTTGCAGTTCGCTATTCAGTTGTTTGCCAATTCGACGTGTCGACTTATTTACATTCCACCACTTGGGGTTCACCATACGCCTCTCGCCACTTTTGAACATAGACGTTTTACATTTCGTCCCTTTGCAGTCAGCCATTTCACCGATTCTACTTTTGGTACGCCGACTTTTTTTGCATGCCGCCATTCCACAGTCGTTATTCAGTAGCCAACCGAAAGGCACTCGTCAATGGGACCTTTCAACATTTTTTTCACACAACCTTCACAATATTATCGTGCACAAACGGCTGTACCCGCCGTGCACTATATGAAAGGGAATGTTCCACACTTGAGAATATTGTGGCTGGTACCACACATAATAAAATAAAATCACTCTTAACTATTGCTTTGCCTTTAAGTTTAAAAGGACTGATAAAGACAACAACAGCATTTAACTATCAAGCAAATATCTCACTCAATACGTCATCTTTGGTTACGTTATGAAATTCATTATTCTTTCAATTATTCACGTCTATATGACGTGAGAGTCGCTGCCAGACAAACCATGTCAGGATTGCCACTGTAACGGACGGGCTTGCTCACCTGAAATACTGCAACTTGCTGAAAGGTGGCGGTGGTGGGGCCGATTATTGCTATGGGCTCGTGCTTTGGCCCTTTCTCGTGTTCTTGCGCAGCTGTCCGTGACTTCATATTGCTTACTGGTATTCACTTGCTCGGTTATGGCGCTAATCTTAAGCTGTTCGATTTTCAGTCTTATTTCCATTATAGTTCGTGCCATAATTTCGGTTCCATTCGCAATCGTACGAAACGTGATACGTGTTCGAAATTTGCATTCCACGTACTACATTGGATGACAATCGTTGGTGTCTTTTTTGCCAGAAATCGTGTTGACGTCCACCAGACACGAAGACTCAATGATCATAATCTGAATGGCCTTGAACACTACATGGCCAATGAGGTGGCAGCATTCGGGTGACTTCTATGGCGTCATGTATGTGTGGCTGAACTCGAAATTGTCTGTACGAAGTAGTCTGGGTAAGTTCACGGGCGTCAAGCTCAGCAACAATAGAGTTTTTAAGTCTTGAAAAAGGCGTATCTGTGAACTGCGCTGAATATTCTTCAAGATGGCTGTCTCAGTTCAAAACACCATTCAAACTGCAGCACTCCCTTTAAGCAGTTGTCATTGGCCGCCGTGGCTTGCCCGGCGGCCAATTGTCTACTGCAGCCGATGCGACCACATTGAAAGATGTGCTGTCAGTAGGCCAACCGAATGAAATGGGCAACTGCATTGGGCATACGTGCTGCAGTGCCAGCGAAAAGCCCCTGGCCTCTTAGCGCGTGGTTTTAAACATCTTTGGTCAGCCGCCGCATGCCGGCCATCACGCCGCGCGCTTGTCCGCCACATTTAGTATGGCGCCACCATTAGTCATATGAACAAACAAGATGCTACCAGCTAATTACTGATTCCCATTCCACCCAACAGTTCTCCCACAATGATACTGTGTAAATACGACGACCACCCCATCCCTCAAGGCGTAAAAGATAAGCATCCTTTATTGGCTACCGTAACTCTGTCGATGCTCGCGGAGGCCGGAGGCCGTCCCAGCAGCATTGAGTGATGCGCTGCAAGTTGGTCAAAGGAATAGGGACAAGCGGACTGTGACGCCAGCTGATAACCCCGCAGTCCCTCTGTCGCATGTCCATGGTTACTCTTTTCGCGAGCGATTTGGCTATTCTACCTGGGCCACAGTATCATTACCATCGCGCTACGGAACGGCCATCTGCATTTCACAGTGTCACGTAAGAAGGTCATTTCTTAAAATTTAAAGAAGACATATGCATTCGAAGAAGGTACAGCAGGTATGTTTACCGATGACTAATTTACGATGCAGGCCGGTAGTGCTCCCACAATGATATCGTGCACACATTATGACGCACGGCGCGCATAGCAATCAGTGTTTATAATTGGCTCTCGTAACTTGGCAAATCACCCGTGCGAACGGCGCGCCAGCATTGAGTGATGCGCTGACTGGTGGCCAACGCTTGGGGTGAATGCCTTCATCGAACAATCATGGTGCAGCGTCAGCTCTTAGTCCTTCAATAGCGCTATCGAAAGCACGATCGCACTCTTCGCGCATGATCATGAGTATTTTCCGGGACACCATACGCTGGCCAATGCCTATTATGGGACGGACCGGCCGACAGCACCTAGGGATGCTCCGTCAGGGATCATGTGAACATAGAAGGTAATACTGACCGATGACCGAGTTACATTGTCCTCGGATAGGGTCCGCACAATGACATAGTGTGTATGCCGTCGCACCCGCTGCACATGAAAACAAGTAACTGGCCGTCGTAACTTAGCAAATCCCCGCACCCGACAGTATTGGGTGATGCGCTGGCACACGTCAACCGATACCAACCGTCAACCGAAGGCACACGTCAACCGATAAGCAAGTCTTAACAGAACAAGACTGCTGCAGCGCGAACTGATGAACTCGCAAGCAGCGCTCTCGAATGCATGTACATGGTCTCACTCTCCGCCACCCAGCAAAACTGTCATCCGAAAAGCACTATAAGCGAGCTTGCGAATACAAGTAAACACCCTTAAACTCACCCATAACTATGCAAGAACACCACGAGAATGGGACAAAACATGAGCACCTAACTACATTTGGTTCAGGATGCATCCAGTAGCACTGCGGGCCACCTCTCGGAAGATTGAAAACCTAAAAGTGAGTGCTTTCATGCCATCTTTCTTTGACGCAATCAAGCAAAGATCATTGAGAAGCAGATTTGCTAAACAAAGAAGCTGTGTTGTCTAAAACAGTATTTTCCACTTAAAAGCATACCGATAGCTGTAAGTCAGATTATTTGATCATCGAGGCCCTCATCGGGGCCACGACACATGGCTGAATGTGGCGGCCGCCACATCCGGTAGCTCCGTTTAACTACATTGATTGCCGCGGTCCTGAGGGACAGAAGTTAGTCAAAGCGTGCAGAAATCGGGCCATTGGCGCACGGCATTTAGCCAGCAACTTTTTATGCTGTGACTTTTACCTCCGTGGCTTCTATCAGGTATTGTTTTGTTGCCGTTACCTTTTCGATGCCCTCAAGCGCCGTATGCCCGGTGTCGCGATTTGGCGCTCCGCCCTCCACCCATTCGGGAAGATTTGTGGCGATGGGCCCCACCAATTAGCGCGGGCGCCCATAGTCTATCGCTTTCTACCAGAGTTGCTGGAAGGTCAAGGCGAGTAGCCGCTCCGGCTGCAGCTAGCCCGGCTGCTGTACTGAGGCGGCGCCAGGCCCTGGAACAGCGGGGCGGCCGTGCAGCACATGGAGCGCGTCCATCTAAAACGCCGCACAGCAGCGGAGGAGGAGCGGACGTCTCGGGGTGGACGAGGGAGACGACAGGGAATCCGCGCCGGGCAGCGCGTGCGGCAGCGACGACATCGCATCGACACTGAAGCGGACTGACGCTGCTGCAGTTCGTCACTGAGCCGATCCGACTTTTTGGTACGTCATCTTCTGTATATTTCGCCATGCATTTGGCAGTCAATGTAGAGATATTTACCAAATTAAATTTTGACTTCTATGTCCTAAAAGCAGTTGCTGTGCCTGGTGAAGTAAAAGGTGTTTTTCACCACAGCACTAGCTGGCCTTAACTTTTTGGTTGTTTTTGGTAATGTGCAGCTGATACTGGACCTGCATATTCCAAACCTTGAAAAATCTTATTTGGGAGTGTTTACTGCTGTTTATGCATACTGGTCCGTGGGTCGTGGTACGCGTTTGGATAAGGGGGTATGGGCGTGAGCAGGTGCATGCATACGTAGGTGCTACGTGTTTATACCAATAAGACACTTTGCCTGTGCCCTTGTGAGGCTGTGGGCCAAGGATATGCCGTGGTTTGGAGTGCAGAAAGAGAATGAAGTGAAGTTTGCCGGTACAGTCTGGTGGTGGCCCTGAGTTTCATGTCATCGTGATGTTATTGTCCGCGGAGCATTGCTTTGAGCCTGCCTGGTGTGAAGGTCCTTATGGTTATTTTCACTTTTTGTCATTTGCCAGGTGCTGAGATACCCAGCTGATCATATGATCTCTGTGTTACAGGGTGATCATGCCTTATTAAATGGTCATAATGAATGCTGTGTTGCGTTTGGAACAAGAAATGGTTTGAAATTCATCTAATTTCTGGTTGGCGCTGTTGATTTATATTGTTGAGAACATGCTGAAGCATCTGCTTGGTGGGACATTTTGAGCTTCATGCCACACCTTCAACAATAAGGATGCATGAACTCTTCCGCCAAGTGCTGAATGAAAAGGACTTATCAAGGGTATGTATTGAAGTGTAACTCATCTCATCCTGCTCTCACAGACTGTGTGTGGTTATGCAGCATCACATTTACAATTATCAAAATGGGATCCATGTACTGAGCTTAAGGTTAGGTGTGTAATATTTATCACCTGTGTGCGAGAGCTGTTCTGTCACATGATGCTTGCATTTTTTGTTGATGTCTAAACATTATGATTTGTAAATATGCCAATATTCACCAGTTGTAATAAGAATAACACAAAATTAGTGTTTCTTTATAAATAGAGAGCAGTGTTGCTATGTAATTAAGTTATAGGTGGATTATGTGCTGTTATTATGGCTATGATTGTAATGGTGTCAGTACTCTTTCCATTGGAGCAAGTAGATTGCAAATTTAGCATACAGCCAATAGCAGATAATGAATACTAGAGCTGACAATAAATTTGAATATCAGGGTGAATACAGGAAGGTGCATGCTTATGATGATGTCTTTGGGCATGGTACTGTTAGAATTAGGTCTGGATATTTCAATTAAATCAGTGAATGTTTAGATCTAGCTTTTAGCCATGGCAAAGAAGGGCAGAAACAAATGTTGTCAGATGAGCTGTGGTAATAAGGCATAGGGTTACAAAACTGTGCAGTTTTCTGGGTCCAATTTCTCAGTTAAGTCCTGCTCAATTTTCAGGTCATGCTATTTGCACTCAATATTGGTTTCAGAAAAGGTGACATTGACCATTTTTGGGGTTATGAATCCTATGGATAGGGTAAATGTCTGATATCCTGTAGTGAGTTTTAGGTGGTGCATTCCTCTGCACAGGATGATGGGTGGTATGTCATCACTCCAATCTACTTGGTGTGATCTGGACATGCAACATTATAAATGCCCACAAACTGCCAGGTCCTTAGTTTGCTCACAAAAATACTTGACCACCTGTACACATTGACCCACACCCTTTTTAGCGGACATGTCCATTTTTCTGATGTTGCTGTGATACTCAGCATTCAAGTCATCAACCCAGACTTCAGCTTTATTTGCACACTGTTGCTGAAAATCGCATGAGCAATGGTTGCAATAATTGGTTTCAAGGATATTGGCTTCAGCAACTTAGCTGAGAAGGTACCAATGGACATGAGCAGGTAGATTTTCTCTAGATCACAAACTGGATACACCCTGGGATCAAAGCTGATCGAAGGGGGCTGGTAGTGTAGTAGTTAACGTGTTTGCATTAAACACTGCGCATTTGGGAAACCAGAAGAACTGGGTTTGATTCCCCACTATCCGCCCTTTGTGCCGGGGTGAGAGGCGGGTGACGCCATTTAGCTTCAGCAGCTGTGTGCGTCGTAAAGCCCCAATGACACACACAACTGATCCAAGGTTCCTAACCAAACTGGTTCTGACTGTGGTCTCAGATTAAGTAAAGCATGATTAATACCTGTTTTACTAAAATCTTGTGGACAGTTTGCAAACAATCAAATAATGCTATAAGAAGGCAAGTGATGGAGAAATGGCTGCTCCTGTTCTTCATTATTTATGGGATTTTTTACTCAGAATGGGTGCTTTGGCTCACTGATGGCCTGTGAAAGCCTTCCAATAAATCAGTTGGGAGCTGCAAAGATGTCTGCGTGTCTCAACCTGGCTCTGGGATCCAGAAGTGACATTTCAGAGGTCATACAATCAGTAATTGCGATCAAAGCTCTGGTTATGTGTACACTATGATGGTACAAAACTTTCCAGACCCACAACATTTCATACCATCCTTTGTCAGAGGGTGGATAGTTGAGGAATCAAAACCAAAGTTGTCACTGCCAAGCAACAACAGTTTCAGTGATGTGATGTATTTGAAGTACTGCCATGTTCCAGGCTGGCGAGCTTTTCTCGCTAGATGATGAACAAGTGGTTGGAGACCTCCAGGAGGTGATCAAGAAGATTCTGGAGGTGACCAGCCGACCAGAGTTCTTGAACAGCATAAATGAGCAGAGCGTTGTGGAGATTGCCATCACCAGGGTGACATCAGCTGTCAGGTAAAGCAACACTCGTGAAGCATCCAGACTCGCCACATAAAAAGTGATGCACAGCACTCTTATACATAGAAATGATACATAGCACTCTTTACTTATTGAAGCAAGCAAAAAGTCCAATGGTGGCAGTGCTGGTATCAAGGAACTAGTGAAACTGAGTGAGCAGAAGCCCACCATTGTGTTCAGGGCTCTGATAGCTATCAAAATGCTCCATTCAGTGCACTAATGCATCACCAGTGTCATAGATGCTTTCAAAGTAGTACTGTATGATCCTTAAGAGTTGTCGTGCTATTGTGGATGGCTCATGGTGTCTTTTGCTTCAACAATTCTCCAATGATGATGCATGACACCACAAACCGGTGTCATGTGATCAGTGATCATAGTGATAAGTGATCACTATACATAGTCAAATCTTGTTATGTAGCATTTCTGGCGATACAGTTGTCAACAGCCTCTGAAGCCTGCTCCCTTACAAACTTGAGCGAATGTATCAGCAGGATAGGGCGCGACGAACAATTCACCGACATTGCACCAATCACTGTTTTGACCCGATCAGAACGCCGTCTGAACGAATGTGGTGAAACCAATTCTACGACAAATGTGTTGAAATTCTGGATGTTGTACATGCCTCCAATTTGTTCGTTTAGACTGTCCGATAACCAGATACGGACGGTCACGCCGTCCGTACAGCGGCCCCCAGCTCTGTCGGGACCCGCCGTCGAACAACGCCTGCCGGACCAGTGCGCTGGCCGCGGGCGTTCGGTGCTGGACGCCGCCGGTCCCACGCCTGCCGGGCCAGTGCGCTGGCCGCGGGCGTTCGGTGCCGGACGCCGCAGGTCCCACGCCGGTGTGCCATGCTCCGGCAGGGACACGCAGACTATCGAGGGCCACGCGGCGCCGCTCGTGCAGCTGCTGGAATCGTGTCTGCAGCACGACCTTAAGCCGTCGGACCGCGACGAGGACCCGCCGCATGCCAAGATGGCGTCCGACGTGCTGGCCTGCCTCTTCCTGGTGAGGCGACCACCTCCGTCCGAGCCGTGCAGCGCAGTTTTTATCGCGTTTCAGATCTTTCGTTGTGAAATGTTATCATTGACCAAGTTAAGTGCGCTGGCTGAGTCCTGCTGGTTAGAACCATTGTCTCAGAAATGTAGCTGCTTCTGCATTTATTTTCTGGTTGCAGAGCCTTTCTATTTTGTGCGAATTTTGCCGCATGTATGAAAGCTTATGTGACAGTGCGATCAGTAGGCTCGTCTCACCACAGGAATATATTTCTCGAACGTTTGGTATCATTTCTTCTTCTAATACATATGGTATATGGCGTTTCATAACATGTCGCATGTGGGTATTTATACAGAACAAATTGCGTCGGCTTGAAGTGTCTTAATATCCCACTTTTGGAATACTATGATATCACATATATCATAACTATTTCATTTTGTCAGCTGGCGGCCGGGTTCGCGGTCGCCCTGCGTATACTGCTTTTGCTCGGATGTTTTTTTAATACATTTGTCCCGAATGGTTTGCATGGGTGACTTTGGGTTCAGAGTACCTACTAAGCATAGCTTGTTACATGTACCCTGAACCCACCACCCAAGTCGTACCGTCCACTGCAACGAATAATTTTGCATCCGCCCTTTTGCCAGACAGGAATGCGGAGGTTTTTACGTGCCGCAGCACTTCCTACGAAATTCCCGGAGAACATGGGGGCCTTGATGTTCTTGTGAATCTGTCGATGTTTCAGTTTGTTTTTGTGTGGGTAAATATCGGGCTCATTTTAAGCGTTTGGATTTGGGACGATTGACAACATGCGCTGTGAGTGGTGCTGAGGACGCCAGCTGCAGCCCCATGTTCGCCCGCCCCGTCTCCACCGCTCCCGCTGACCCGTCTCCGCCGTTCGTCAGAACTACGGCCGGCCGAGCGTGATGCAGCTGGCCATGCCGGTGGCCGTGCGGTTCCTGGTGAAAGGCAGCCGCGAGCTCAGCCGCAACCTGGCCGCCTACCTGTCACTGGTGGCCATCGAGAACGCCCAGCTGATCGCCGACCACGCCGCCAGCATCATGGACAGCATCGCCGCAGGTGCGCCCCGGCCCGCTCAGAGGCCTTACGCCACGCCGGGCTGGTCAGTGTGGGTGGAATGCCTGTTGAGCGCTCCAGGCGCCACTGCGCTCGGTGGCTCTTAGACGGTGGTTGTTTGGCCTAGACTGGCGGACTGTGAGCCCCAGTCGCAGCTGGGGGTCGGTCGAGAGCCGGCCCGTGTTCGCACGTTTTGACAGCAGGTGCCCCCCCCCCCCCGCTGCAGGCAACTACCAGCTGACGCAAGTGCTGCCGCCCATCTACCGTCTGCAGCCGGACCGGTTCGCGCGGCACATGACCACGCTCGTGACGGTGATGCCGCTCTGCCTGGGCCAGGAGCGGCTCGCGCTCATCGACCTCTTCCAGCTGATGGCCAAGCAGCAGCCGCAGGTGGGTCGTGCTCCAGCGCGCTCTCGCGGACCGACTGCCGCTCTGGTGTCCAGCCAGGGGCGGTCTGAGGGCCGGACAACGCCGCCGGTGAAAGGTGGAGCCGTCTGTCGTCCGCAGCTCGGTGAACCGGGCACAATGTGGCGGTGTTCGTGAGGATGGCAGATTGGCCTCGCCTGCCGGGACTGCTGTACTATCTCGGGTGAACTGGAGCGCTCTAGTGTGCATCCAGCGCTGATGGCAGGCTGCACAGCCTGGCAGACATTAAGTCTGATGCCAAAGCAGCAACATTTCGACTGTGCACAATCTTTCAGGCTGCGGTAGTGGAACAGCCACGGCGCTCTTATGACGTGCATTGGTGCTGATGGCCAAAATCCGTTCAGCTCCGACGCTGCTACTGCTGTGCGCTCTGACAGCTCGGACGCTGGTGCTGCTGTGTACTCTGACAGCTCGGACGCTGGTGCTGCTGTGTACTCTGACACTGCTCCGCTGTGCGGTAGCTGCTGGTGCCGGCCGTGCCCCAGCTGTGTGACTACCTCTGCTCGCCGCCGCTGGGCGCCGCCACCGCCCAGGTGCTGACCACCATGACCATGGCCGCGCCGCTCGCCATGTCCGAGCACGTCAACAAGCTGAAGCTGACGGTGGACCACCAGCCGGCCACGCTGCCGCACGTGCTGCCCGTCCTGGTGGCGTTCGGCCAGCGCACGTCCCGGGTAAGCGGGCGGCTGGGACCGAGAGTCCCGTTTTGGCTGGCGACGCGAGCTGGCTCCGCCGCTCCGGAAGCTCCCATCAACGTGTCGGCGCCGTTCATTTCATTGGTTTCCGCGTGTGGCGACGGCGAGACGATGCCGGTGACGACAAATGATGCAGTCACTTGGAGCCGTACGCCGCAGACTCTGTTCCTGTCGGCCAGTTTCTCGTAAACGCAACGCCTGTCCCAGAGCGCGGTGGTGTTTGGCGTGTGCGTGCCGCCGGCCGGCGAGGCTCTGATCGTGCCGGTGCCGGGGCGCGGTGGTGCTTGGCGTGTGCGCGCCGCCGGCGGCGAGGCTCTGACCGCGCCGGTGCCGGGGCGCGGCGGTGTTTGGCGTGCGCGCCGCCGGCCGGCGAGGCTCTGACCGTGCCGGTGCCGGGGCGCGGCGGTGTTTGGCGTGTGTGCGCCGCGGCCGGCGGGGCTCTGACCGTGCCGGTGTCGGGGCGCGGCGGTGTTTGGCGTGTGCGCGCCGCCGGCCGGCGGAGCCCACGGCGGGGCTCTGACCGTGCCGATGCCGGAGCGCGGCGATGTTTGGCGTGTGCGCGCCGCCGGCCGGCGAGGCCCTGATCGTGCTGGTGCCGGCAGCCGGTGGCGCGGGACCTGCTGCTGTTCCTGCTGACTCGGGCCGGCGCCGCCGACGGCCTGACCGTGCACACGCTGAGCCAGGAAGTGCGCCAGCTGGTGGCCTGCCACCCGACCCTGCTGCCGCCGGCGCTGCTGCGCGACATGGAGCAGCAGCCGGACCTGGCGGCCGCCGTCCAGAAGCCGCGCCTCTACCTCAGCACCGAGGAGACGTCACGGTGAGCCTGCTGTTCGAGTCGAAAAGGCTTGACGAACCTGTTGTACCACCAGTTACGTCCCAGTGCATAGTTGTAAACATCTGAGTGACAAGCTATAATTGGGAGGCGCATTTCTGGGGTCTGCCCACGGCATGTTCAGTGAAGTATTCGCTTCCGAAACATAGTGAACGTCTGAGTGACAAGCTATAATTGGGAGTCTCATTTCTGGGGTATGCCCACGGCATGGTCAGTGAAGTATTCGCTTCCGAAACATAATAAACATCTGAATGACAAGCTATAATTGGGAGGCGCATTTCTGGGGTCTGCCCACGGCATGTTCAGAGAAGTATTCGCTTGCGAAACATAGTGAACGTCTGAGTGACAAGCTGTAATTGGGAGATGCATTTCTGTGGTCTGCCCTCGGCATGTTCAGAGAAGTATTTGCTTCCGAAACACAGTTGTGAACATCTGAGTGACAAGCTATAATTGGGAGGCGCATTTCTGGGGTCTGCCCTCGGCATTTTCAGAGAAGGATTCGCTCCCGAAACATAAAAGTGTTGATGAGCGCCTTCCGGTACCGTTCATTACATATCGCCCCCCCCCCCCCTCTCCCCCCCCCCCCCTGTTATATTTTCCAATGTCTCAAGAGGGCTGAGGCGAACGCCCTGGACGTACTTGGTGCCAAAACAGCTGGACGGGAGTAGGGTTAAGGAAACACGAAAGGGCTAGTCGTGTTTCAGCTGCCTGTGACGGCTTTGCTGTTGGTCTGCAGCGCGTTGACTGGGTGGCTCCGTCCGGTCGTTTGCAGGCGTCTGTCGGAGGACAACTGCGTGACGATCGTCAAGGTGGGCTCTGGCGGCAGCCGGGAGCTGTGGTCCACCTCGTCGCGGGACCTGTTGTCGTCGAGGGACCACCTGCGCGGCAAGCTGGCCGACTCCAGCCGGTCGACGCCGCGGCTGAACCAGAGCCGACCCAGTGAGGCGCGGACGGCCGGGCGGGGCCGCGCTCGGGTCCCGCCGGCACCCGCACACTGACGCTCTCACTGTGGCCCTGTGGCAGCGCTGTTAAGCTCTTCTGCCCCGGCGGCGTCGCGCCTTTGTGTTTCTGGTCCATCGTTTTCATCGTTGGATCGCTACCATGGCTACCTCTCGTCTGACGATACCTTTAGTGCGTCTCGCGCAGCGGGATCCAGTCCACGTCATGCCACTTGTCACTAGCCCCCCCCCCCCCCCCCCCAGGGCTTATAGCTCCTCCCGCGCAGACACGCGTGTGCGTACATCAGCTCCGTTTGCCTGTGCGTTCCAGTCGCGAGCGCAACGTCCACGTCGCTGATCGGGCTGAAGGCGCCGCTGCACAAGTCCATGACCCAGGTGAACCACTCGTCTCAGCTCATCACCCGGTGAGTGGCCGACGGCCGGATGCTGGTCCGGCCCGACCGCCGGCGCCCCGGCCGCCGCTGCCGCCGGCGGCGGGACAGGACACGACCGGCGCGCTGGACAAGCCGCCATGACGGGCGGTGCCTCACGCGGACACCAGGCTTTTGGCAGCGCGCCCGGACCATTATGCCAGCATTTGCGGCCTGAATTTTGAATTTATATTTTTGTTTAATTTTGAATTGAAAGCTGAAGTTTGAAACTTGAATTTGAATTTATGTCAAACAGTTTTCATCGCTGTGAAACTGTCCGCCCTATGCGTTACTAGCAATGGGATGCTCCACTTTTTGGCGTGCGCTGTGTGTGGGATGGGCCGTAGCCTGCTGGGAGCGGTGCCAGCCAGATGCACCACCGGTCCCCACGCTGACCGGGCGCGCCGGGCGCGGCAGGTTTCCGGGTGGCTCGCGCGGCCAGCTGCCGGCCTCTCAGCGGGCGCTGACCAGCCTGACGGTGACGCTGGGGGCGGGGGCCGAGGCTGGGGGCCAGCAGTCGGTCAGGTGAGGCGGCACGTCTCGGTGCTCTGTATGATCGGCCCGTCCCCTCTCTCTCTGTCTGTCGCTCGCTCGGCTCTTTATAGCATCCCGGCCGCCCTCCGTTCGATCTCGTTTGGTTTGCCCGTCGCTGGCTGTGGCCGGCCTCTGGTTTGCAGCGCCGGCGCCGGCGCGCGCGCGTGTGTCTGTGTGAGTCTGCCGTTTGGTTTGCGCCGCCGCCGCCGCCGCCGCCGCATGCCGCGTGCCGCGTGCTAAGCGTCGCTGTGCTGCACGCGTAGCGCCAGCGCCGGCACGCTGTCGGACGAGCCGCCCGCCGCGGCGGCCGCCTCCGCCGGCACCGGGTCCTCGCGCCAGCTATCGGCCGCCGGCCCGGCCCGCAGCCGCCCCCCAGGTGAGCCGCCGCCCCCGCCGTCGGCCGGGCCGGCTAGCGCTGCCGCCCGGCTCCGTTTGCCACTCACGGCCAAAGACGTGGTGCAGTTGGCAGCCCGCGACTGCGATAATGCATTGGGCGTGGAATGATTGGTGGCGCGCATGGCTTGCATAAAGTTTTCTGTTTTGTTTTTTGTTTTTTATGGCACTGTTGACGCTGGAAGTAGTATGCTGTACGCCATGGTTGTTGGATAGCCCGGTAGCTAATCAGATATAGCTGCATAGTCACCCGCTGTCATGTTGTGGTCGGTGACGACCGTTCGTGTTGCTGTGTTGAACTTGCACATTCAAAACATGAGGTGGTGTGCGGCACGACTCTGGTGCCCGGAGTAACGGGATGTCCGCGACGGGCCTCCGACGTAGTGCAGTCGTTCCGCCGGTCTCCGAGGTGACAGCGTGTCCTGCGCTCTCCCCCGGCGCAGCGGTGTCGCCGACGCCGCCCGCGCGCGCCGTGGGGACGCTCCGCTGCGCACGTGCCGAGCCGCCCGCCGCGTTTCAGCGCCGGCGGCCGCGGCGGTCACGTCGGCCGGCGCGCCGACCCCGCAGCCGGGTCCGGCGCCGACGCCGGCGCCGGCGCCGGCGCCAGCAGCGGCCTCGTCCACGGCGCCGTCCACGCCGGTGCAGCGGCGCAACACCACCGTCACGCTGATCAGCGCCGGCGGGCAGCAGGCGTCGGCGCCGTCCGCCACGCAGGTGCGCACGCGGCGCCGCCTGCGGCGCTGTCGCTGGGGCGGCGTGCTGTCCTGTTTCAATCGGAGGCACCGCGCGCTGCCCCGCCCGGCGTGACCCCGAGGGGTGCTGCGTGCCGCTCTGGCCGAATCACTAGTGCTGCGCGGTGCATTATTCCCTCAGCTGTGCAATACTGTTGGGGACGTTCTTTACGGCACAACTGCACCGTGTGAGTTGTGCGTTACGCACTGCGCCCAAGCATCGGATACTGTATGATACCGGTCAGCAGAGGAGTTGTCAAAATAGCAAAAGTCGTTGTGGAGCACCTTAATATCTCATTGGTTGTGTCCAAGCTGCGGTTGCCAGCTCGCAGACGAACCGCATATGAGGCCGAGCTGTATATTTGTTTTGCGGACGGCTCGCACTGTACCAGGAGTCATATATGCCCGCAGACCTGCCACAGATATGTACGTGCGCTGGCGGGATGTGCGAGTGGTCCGTACTGACGGCTGTGTTGTTCTGTATGCAGCGCATCAGTGTGTTTGAGCCGTACCAGATGCGGGACACGATGCAGCACTTTTGCGAGAAGCACCTGGACAAGATCAAGGAGTTCATGCAGAAGGTGTCGGTGCGCCTGCCGCTGCCGGGCAGGTGCACCATTGAAGGTCAGCACCGCGGCGGCCCGGTCTGTCCGGTCCGGTCCGGTCCGATCCGGTCCGCTTCAGTCCGCTTCAGTCCGCTCCGCAGCCCGGTAGCTCTTTGTCATGCAGAAGCTAAGTGTTTGAGACGCAGAGCTCTGAACGTACATCCGCGAGTAATGTGGTAATCAAAGGTACTTGGCAAGTAAGAATTGGTCGTACGCAGAGCGACTACACGTTCTGATGGGTCGAAACGTTGTGAGGTCACGGATCCGTGTGAGGTCACATGCGGAGAGGATCCGGTTTTGAGAAGCATGGGAGCTTGTATCCCGTTTTGTGAAGTGTGCTCGCGATGTGTCAGAAATTCGCATGCAGAGCTCCACAGCACTTATCTGGTAGTGGATTGGTTACGAAACGTGCTGTGCTAGTTTGTGTGGTTCCTTTTCAGAGCGTAAAAGCCGAAAGCAAGCCAAGTTGCACTTTATGTGCCAGATTCACGGTGAATATTGTCTATACAACAAGTCTTTTTACCCGATGAAGACAAAAAACCCTCGCACCTGGATCCACTTGATGTTCCTGACGCTCCAGGTAAAGATGCCAGGCTTGTGCTTTCGTCAAACCCCGTGCCACATGTGTTTGCGTGGATAGTATTTAGAGCTTTGTGTGGATGCTGTTGGATTTAAAACCGTACCGTTACGAACCCTGTCATGATTGTTGTTGAACAGGTATGATAAATCCGGAACGAAATCGATGCTTTTCTTCTTGGACCGCAATGCGAGTGCAGCACTTTACGTTGGGGGAGGGGGGGGGGGGGGGGGGGGGGGGGGGCGTAGGACTGGCTCGGACGTAGTCCACATACAGGTCGCCGTATGCCTCCCATTGGAAGGCACAGCACGCCATGGAAACGATCGCGCTTACTACCTGATTTTGGGTATGTTCTATTATTCGTACAGTATCAATCGTGATCACCTAAAAATGAATGCAATAGATCCGACAGTTAGAGTATTCCCCAAAGCGACAGCACGGGCTGTTTGCCGCCGACAGTGAGCCGACAGCAGTGACGGGCATGACCGTGACGCGGCTGGTGGTCGGCTGTGTGGGTGTGACCCCCGACCCGGTCCGTGCCGCGCAGGCGCGCGCCTCATCGGCGCTGAGCAGCCGCGATCCGGGGCCGAACAGTCTGAAGAACTGCTGGGACACGCTGCGCTGGGAGTCGACCTCGTTCCTGGAGGTGGTCACCGGCTGTTTCCCGACGGCCAAGGTCAGTCGGCGCCGGCGGCGACTCCGGCGGGCCCCGCCGACTGCCGGCCGCACCGGCGACGAGCAGGGCAGGTCATCACCACGCTACCCACCACCTCATCACGTCACCGACGTACTACCTCACTGCTTCACTGCCTTACCACCTCACAACCTCACCACTACTCACCACCTTGCCATCTTGCCGCCTGACCACATCACCACCTCACCGCCTCTCTGCCTCGCCGCCTCACCGCCCCACTATCTCACCTCACCACTTCGCCACCTCACCACCACTCACCACCTTACCACCTTGCCGCCTCACCACATCACCACCTCACCACCTCTGTGACTCACCGCCTGTCTGCCTCGCCGCCTCACTGCCCCACTATCTCACCTCACCACCTCACTGCCTCACCACGCATCACCACCTCGCCACACCTCACCACCTCACCACATCACCACCTCGTCGCACCTCACCACCTTGGCAGGCGCTCACACCGACCGCTGGCAGTCGCGGCTCAGACACTTGGCTATCCAATGTGCCGACCTAGCCGCGCGGGTGCCTACAGCTCCCCTTGCAGATCTGGGGGGCCCGCGTGTGTTCGAACCGCGGGTCTCTGATCGCCGGCGTGCAGTCGTGGCCGGCGTAAACGGCATTGTTGCCGTGCCGTGAACTGCACGGTGCGTCGGCAGGCTACGTGTTGATGTGAATTGGCGATGGTCGTGGTGAAAGTAGCCCTATTCGAAGTGTTGAAATATGCTCTCCCAACTGGTCCAGGCGGGCTACTTTAGGTCAAACCCATAGAAGGTGGGCAGTGAAAGCCTGCTCACTGGGTTCGTAGACACCTTGGGTCTTAATTAGCCTCTTTAAGTTGTTTTTACGCGTAAGGGTGTGAAAGATAGAACTACTCTTTAGATGGCAAAAATCCGAATTTGCGTGGGTCAGCTCTGTAAGCGACGCTGGATCGAAGGCAGCTCTTTATATTTCATTAACTTTGTTATATGTGAAATCGGCGGCACCACATCTGTGAACAGCCGGAAAGTAGACAATGAAAGCCAAGCACGGGAGAGACCTAGCTCAGGTGTTCTGCTTTTTTACTCCGGAGAGCTCAGGCTGTCAGCTTTGTATTTACCCATGAACCCTGAAAGTTGTATCCCCAGATACACGCGCAATCACGCTGCAAATGCCTCTATGTTGCTGTATTTCGACTAGTTAGCGTGACTGGTTTCGTGTCCACGTTATTTGGAAGCACAATTTGCCGCGTGTTTCCTGAATCCAACGCCCAAGTTATGCCGACCAGCTGAACGAACAGTTTTGCCCCCGCTTTTGTCTACGCAGGACTGCAGAACGTTTTGCGTGTCACACAATGTTACGGCGGGGCAGCCCCGGGCCTGGGTTGACCCGCGTTGGCCGGTCGCTAGATGACCTTGCCATGTCAGCTGCTCCAAACATTGCGCCCGCTCTGGGACTCTCTTCGGCGCTTTATAAGTTCGTTGACGATCGATTGAGATCACAATGAATGACGGCACTCAAGCTTTGGCACATGAACACGTGACCCGTCCAAGGCCACTGACCTGTAGCGACATTGGCTCCCGCAATGATGCGTCGACGACCTGTGTAGACGCCTCGGTGTCGGGTGGTCCGCGTCTGCGCCCCGACGGCCGGACCCGCTTGGCCCACTGCAGACTGCAAACTGTAGACAGTTGACTGGTGCTGGCACCGCTGCCGACCCGCAGTCTGTCAGGGCTCCCGAGCCTAGGGGGTCACACCCGACCCGTGTTAACCTGTCCTGACCTCTACTTGGTCGTGCCCTCTCACCCTCACCGAGACCTGACCTGTGGGTTGTGGCGGCAGGAGACGGACGTGCTGCTGCAGGAGCTGCGCAGCGCCCGCTTCTTCGACGTGTTCGAGTACAACGGCATGCAACAGCAGTGGGGCTGCTTCCTCTGCAACCACCCAGAGAAGGCCGAGGGCTTCGTCAAGGTAGGCGGCATGCGAGGGGATCTGTACTCCACCGACCGGCTCGGGAGACCGTATCCAACGGCCCATTCACAACGTCACACCTGGTGGGGAGCTGTTTTACGTGTACATGTTCATAGGCCAACCGTGTAAAATTCATTAAGCCTTTTGGATGTGTTGTCAATAGGATCGGTCCGTAAGGTTATTTAGATAGTTCGAAAAGTGCCCCTCCCAGATTTCATACAAATTCATGCAGAGACCTTAACGCGAATTGGCTCCACGGTTCTGAAGCTCTTCAGCCGAGTGTTGAGGTCTGGGCGCCGCGCGACCGGAGGTGGTCTGGCGGGAGCGGGCCCGCACATCAGTGCGCTCCGGCCCGCTCCGGTCAGGTGTACTGCTGTGGTCGGTGCATGACCCAACCCGACCCGACCTGATTTGACCTGGCCGATGCGCCGCACTGCAGCCCGACCAGCCGGTGATGGAGGGGCAGCTGAAGGAGAAGAAAGGCCGCTGGAAGATCTTCCAGCGGTGGAGGACGCGCTACTTCACCTTGTCGGGCGCCCACCTCAGCTACCGCTGCGTAAGGCGCGCGGCGTGTGGTCGGCAGACAGCTGACCACTCAGTGTCACGTGTGCTGCGATGTATAGCTGGCAGTCGGAGTCTGGGACGTGACGGGAGGCCGTTGCAGTGAGCGCCGCGCTGGCCTTCCTGCTGTTGTCCCCGGCCCAGTCCTCCCATGCCCCGCCAGCCCAGCCGTCGTCCCATGCCTCCCACCAGCCCAGGCATCCTCCCATGCCTCCTATCAGCCCAGCCGTCGTCCCATGCCTCCCACCAGCCCAGCCGTCGTGCCATGCCTCCCACCAGCCCAGCCGTCGTCCCATGCCTCCCACCAGCCCAGCCGTCGTGCCATGCCTCCTATCAGCCCAGCCGTCGTCCCATGCCTCCCACCAGCCCAGCCGTCGTGCCATGCCTCCCACCAGCCCAGCCGTCGTCCCATGCCTCCCACCAGCCCAGCCGTCGTGCCATGCCTCCTATCAGCCCAGCCGTCGTCCCATGCCCCCGTCATCTGCGGCGGCGTGACGGCCAGCGGGGCTGACGGCCCCGTTCGGTTGCAGTCCGAGCAGCCGCGGCTGGACAACCACGAGATCGGCGTCCACGAGATCCGGTCGGTCAAGGTCAGCCGCAGCGGCCGCAACATCCCCAAGGCGTTCGAGATTTTCACGCACGACCGCACCTACGTCCTCAAGGCCAAGGTGGGTGCAGCGCCGGTCGAGCCGTTTTCGCAGGGGTGTGGACTGTGGGGTGTAAGCGCGTCAGCAGGGTTTGTGGTCGAGCTAGTCCAGTGGAGCGACGGTACCAGCTGGCTGCGGTCCGTGTTGTGCCGTCCTGACCTGTGTGTTTTGTTACTGGGGATGTTCGAGTTGGGTTAGGCGGGCGGCGGCGCGCGCACTATGCGCCCTCATATGCGTCTGTGTGCGGCTGGCAGGATGGCAAGAAGACCGAAGAGTGGGTGCGCTGCCTGTCGGTGGCCGTGGCGCACCAGCACAGCCGGCCGCGCGCCGACACCATCAGCCTGGGCGTCAACTCGGTGGCCAACCTGCACAGCATGCCGCAGCTGGCTACGCTCTGAGCGGGCAGACGCCCGGCCTGCCCGCGCGCCACGTGTGCGGTCCGCCGGCGGGAGAGCGGGGTCGCGGCCGAGCCGGAGCCGTGGCCGGCGGGAGCAGGGGCTGCCGGCGGGCAGAGCAGGGTCGCGGCCGAGCCGGAGCCGTGGCCGGCGGGAGCAGGGGCTGCCGGCGGGCAGAGCGGGGTCGCGACCGAGCCGGAGCCGTGGCCGGCGGGAGCAGGGGCTGCCGGCGGGCAGAGCAAGATGGCGGCCGAGCCGGAGCCGTGGCCGGCGGGAGCAAGGGCCGCAGCGACCCAGCCGGGGCGCGTCCCGCCGCCGGCCGCTGGGGCAGTGCGTGCGGCGCTGCGCCGCTCTTCTGCCGTATTGACGTGATGCGAGGAGGCGTCGCCAACCGATCCGCCCATGCCGAACCGCGCTGTGAGGTGTTAGCTAGCGATGACTGGTGTCGGACGTGAGGGTACAAATCACTGGGGGCATCGGGGCCGTCGTGCGCGTTGCCTGCCATCAGGCAGCTTGTTGTGCTTTGATTCGTCGACATTCCTCTTGGTCTATTCGGGAAGCGTCTAGATATTACTTAATACTGCGCTGATGAGATTCCATATGTCCTAGCCAAGCTAACAGCCGAAGCTAGTGTGCTTTAAGCCGTTTGAAAGGCTGAGCGGTTTTTGGTACGATTCTTACTGGATGTATACATAATAGCACGCGCGTGGGCTTGGGCGCTTGCCTCGCCGCTTCGTTGTTGGTTAAGAAATCGTGCTGGGCCATTTTCGCTTGATGTGTGGAGCCGACTGTCGTGTGCTTTGCTCAAGCTCTGTGACAAGTCCGCACCGACAGCGAGCGGACTGTTCGCCTGCGCCGGTCTCGTGAGCCGCGGCCCCGGAGGGGTCCGTCCCTGGGACAGGGCCGCAACCCCAGGGGTGGTCGTTCCTGAAGAGGCCGCGTGACCCCAGAGGTGGTCCCTTCCGTCCGGACAGGTCCATGACCCCTCGGGGCAGTTTCTCCCGTCCGGACATGTTACGACACGAGGCATCCGTTGTCTTTCAAGCGTCGCTGCTCGGCTGACCTGGGCCGGGAGGCTGCCCAGGCGAGGTCCACAATCCCCGCGTTTGGTGTCGCCGTTTTTACGTACTTGAATTTATATTTATACGTATTTATCTGCGGTGTTGCGGAGCGCAGATCAGGCCGGTGCGGATACACCGACAAATTCGGAATGTGATCTTGCGGTTCTTCCATTTGTTGTGACAGCGAGCGGATGGTGAAACGTGTTCCTGTCAACTGTGGCTTTCAACGGGTGCGATTTCGATGAATAACGCTAGTTTTTTAATGCCTGACGTGGGAGACCCGACATCAGCTGTTATGTTCTGCAGTGCCGGAGGTGCCTGCCTCAATAAAGCATAACACGGACGTGTGTATTGCTGCCTGATTTGGGGATCAGGTTACGCTTGGGGGTGTTTGTCTACATCATACAGCCTTGGATGAAGGCCAGAAATGTGCCGGTAGCTGCCTGTGTTGCCCTGAGTGAGGGTGCGGTATGGACTCTTAACATGCATCTCTCGTCGAAGCTTGCCTAACTAATATGAAGGATACAAAACGAGCTAGTTGAACCATCGACATGATGAACCACAACCATGATGGGGAGTTGACGCCAGGAGCGTCTTTACAATCTGGTAAGGACGTAGAACGAACAGTTATGTGGAACGAGACACAGCTTCGTCCCGGAGGACCCGGCGGTCCTCGGAGAGACGGCAGCAGGCACTGGTAACAGTTACCGAGTCAGCAGCGGCGGTCCTGAGGCGGTTCGTCCATCAGTGGAGGAAGGCACTTGGCGACGACATGTAAGGCGGACATGGTGCGCATGACAATACAATGCATAGTTATTAACCGACATACGCGCTCTCAAAACAAAATGGAGAGGCCGGATCGACCGAAGAAAAAAAAAACATTGTAATTTTGGACGGCGATACCGAAGGCCGGTACTTAGCGTCCTAAATAGATTGGAACTAAACACTTTTTGAGCCAATTTCTAGCGAGACCCATTTTTGAATTGAATGCCGCTTGAAACTTGATGCGTTTGAGTGAGGCCACGTTTGAGACCGCGTCTCCACCGATTCCATGCATGTGACCGCGAGTCTCGGGGGCAGCCGTTCTACAGGAGCGGCGCCACATGACACAGCGGGTCACCGACCGCTTGCTGAAGCTCTAGTTGATGCACGGCCCGACAGAGGGCCACCAGCTGGAGCAGCCGGTGCAGGCGGAGCCGCGGCCGGGGGCAGCCCGCGCCGCGCAGGTGCGCCACCAGCAGCTCCCGCAGGTGGCACTGGATCGGCGCCACCAGCTGGCCGTGGGACAGCAGCGGGGCCAGGCCTGCACGCCCGCGACACACGGCGCCAGGAGGCGGTCAGCACCCGAACTACCAGATTAATCGCACAGCTCTGAACACGTCTGACACCCTGCGACAAACCTAGTTCAATGGCTCAATGCAAGATGCCATTCCGCCGCGCATTATCGCCTGTTACACCAACATTGGGACATAGAAACACGCATTGACATGGGGCGAATCCGGCCTGAGGTGCCGATATCCTTAACTACATCCTCTTCATCTTCTTACTGTAAAATTATCTGCCAAGCTCATGGTTCTGCTAGAGACGGAACTTGTTCAAAATAAGTGGTGGCACATTGGGACCAACGTCGACCCTCCCTGCACAACGCTCAAGAGTGCAACGCTGAGGCCAAAAGGCATTGCGGTGGATCAAACCCTCCCATGCAAGCTGCGCATAGGCGCCATCTGACTGCTGTTGGTCACCACCCGTGACGCGGCTGACCTGGGTCGAACACGATGATGAGCTCCAGGAGGCGCACCTCCACCGGGTCGGGCCGCAGCTGGCGCACGGCGGCCGCCAGCTGTTCCAGCCGCCGGTCGTAGCCGCTGCCGTCCCAGGCGGCCGCCAGGCGCAGCAGTAGCAGCAGCCGGGCACAGCCGGCCAACAGCAGGCGCTGGTCGTCGGCCGGGAACAGCGCCAGGTGTGCCAACGTGTCCGGTGGCGGCGGCGGCAGCGGCGGCGGGGCGACGCTCGGTCGGTCGGAGGGCGTCGCCGGTGGCAGACGGCGTCGAGGACGGGGCCTGCGCGGGCCGCGCTCCTCCTGAACAGCTGCAGCGGGGCGGTTCAGAGGTCACGGCCGGTCACGCTCACACCGGGCCGGCTGGGGTACCCCTCCCTCTACAGAGCTGTGGCCAGCGGCGGGTCAGTCAGGCCACACGCCTGGTGAACGCCCCAATGCTCAATGCCACGATTGGCAATGCCACCCACTTGGCTGCGACCTCGGCTCTACACAGGTTAACGTCACGTCTTCTGCCTGCCAGGTCTCCAAGTGGGTGCAAAAAGGTCCGTCAACAACATTCTATCATGGAATCCCGCGGTTGCGATAATCCTGAGATGCGCCCATCAATGACAACGCTCTTAAACATTGGAGACCCGCCACATAACGCCAAGGAGACACGATTCACAACACGCGCACTTGTATGAGCACACCGCGCAATAATGAATGCATAGTTCATGAACGGTACGCCCCTAATTTCTGACGGGGCACTGCGGTATACCTGTTGGGTTCATGTTGACGGAGAGACACTTGCCGAAGCGACAGGCGGGGCACCAGTTGCGCCGTGACCGGTCCACGAGACAGTCCCGGCGGCCAGCTGACGGCGCGTCACGTGGGGTCACAAGTAGGCTCACATCATGCTCTGGGTCAGTGCCACCGTCAGCTTAACCAGCTTAACTCGCTTAACTCGCTTACCGCTTAACGCGCTGTCAATAGTGACGCATGATCGATGGGGTCATCCTTCATTCCTAACCGTTTTCTTAAAAATACACTGACACCATGCATCACGACACAAATGACACCACGCAGGTAACCTGAAGGGTTAGCAGTCCGGCGCTTACAGACGCAGGCGTAGACGACCTGTCTCCGGACGGTGCGCTTGAAGAAGCAGGAGCAGCCGTCGCAGCAGACAGCGCCATAGTGACGGCCGAAGGAGCGGTCCCCGCAGACGGCACACGGTGTCTGGGAGGGCACACCTCTGCCTGTGGGACGGGGTACGGTGTCTGGGAGGGCACACCTCTGCCTGTGGGACGGGGTACGGTGTCTGGGAGGGCACACCTCTGCCTGTGGGACGGGGTACGGTGTCTGGGAGGGCACACCTCTGCCTGTGGGACGGGGTACGGTGTCTGGGAGGGCACACCTCTGCCTGTGGGACGGGGTACGGTGTCTGGGAGGGCACACCTCTGTCTGTGGGATGGGGTACGGTGTCTGGGAGGGCACACCTCTGCCTGTCGGACGGGGTACGGTGTCTGGGAGGGCACATCTCTGCCTGTGGGACGGGGTACGGTGTCTGGGAGGGCACACCTCTGCCTGTGGGACGGGGTACGGTGTCTGGGAGGGCACACCTCTGCCTGTGGGACGGGGTACGGTGTCTGGGAGGGCACACCTCTGTCTGTGGGATGGGGTACGGTGTCTGGGAGGGCCACACCTCTGCCTGTCGGACGGGGTACGGTGTCTGGGAGGGCACACCTCTGCCTGTAGGACGGGGTACGGTGTCTGGGAGGGCACACCTCTGCCTGTGGGACGGGGTACGGTGTCTGGGAGGGCACACCTCTGCCTGTGGGACGGGGTACGGTGTCTGGGAGGGCACACCTCTGCCTGTGGGACGGGGTACGGTGTCTGGGAGGGCACACCTCTGCCTGTGGGACGGTGTACGGTGTCTGGGAGGGCACACCTCTGCCTGTGGGACGGGGTACGGTGTCTGGGAGGGCACACCTCGGCCTGCCGGACGGCACACGGTGTCTGGGAGGGCACACCTCTGCCTACAGGACGTGGTACGGTGTTGGCCAACTGCCAGGGTACGCCCATGGCTGGAGACAGGGGCAAAAACGCCACCTCACACGGCACCAGTGAGAATGCATCCCTGCCTGGGAGATGGGGCTAGGTGTCATCTCCCACGACACCAGCAAAAATTCACCCCTTCCCAAGAGATGTACCTAGATGCCACTTTACACAGTATCGGCGAAAATGCACCCCT